AAAATACCATGAAAAATATATGTCACGTACAGGTACAGTAAGCTGACCCTAGCAATGTTTGTATGTTTAATTTTCACAAGTGGTTTTAGCTGTGGACAATCCATGAGTTATCCATTTTTCATGGTATTTTGATTAAAAATGTGAGGATCAACTTATCCATGGATGGGCTTTAATGTAAGTAGATACAGAATATATATGGGTACTTTAAAAATATTACCATGTATACTTGTACATAAGCCCATCTGTGGATAAACCAAACCCAATTTTTCAGTGCCCACAGCAGTTTGATTCTCGCTGGCTCAAGGTTGACTCAGCCTTCCATCCTTCTGAGGTTGGTAAAATGAGGATCCAGATTGTTGGGGGCAATAGGCTGACTTTGCAAGCAGGTTAGAGAGGGCTGTGAAGCATTGTGAAATGATATATAAATGCTATTGCTATTGCTATTTTTCCAGAAACCAAATTTCCTGGTTTCTGGCAAAAAATGCTGATACGAAACAATAGTTTTGCTTAACAGCCTTGGTGTTTGTTTAATGACCACCTCAAAATAAAATCTGTGTGTGTGTGTGTGTGTGTGTGTGAGAGAGAGAGAGAGAGAGAGAGAGAGAGAGAGAGAGAGAGAGAGAGAGAGAGAGAGAGAGATATGACACAACAAAAACAGGCACAGTTACAATACTCAGTTTTGTTATAATCTTCTTACCCACATCAATTTGATTTATTCTGTTGCCCCTTCAGGAGGAAGAAATTGCCAAACATCTGCCTTAATAAAAACCCTGAAATCAATTTTGTTTTCAATCCCCCAGATCCACCAAAGGTCAACATTATAAAGCTACAATCACTCATCCAAGAAAAGGACAATGTGGTTTTGACATGTTCAGCCACTGGCAACCCTCCCATCAGTGATTATAAATGGTACAAAAGCAGCACACCTGATATTATCATGACTGGACCAAAACTGCAATTTGAGGCAATTCAACCCAGGGATTCTGATACCTATCTTTGTGTGGCCCACAACATGATTGGCCATTCAAATGCCTCTGTCACACTGAATGTTCATTGTAAGTAGAAAAAGATCCTAGCACTGGAAGTTGTATTTAAAAAAAACAGCAGGCTGTTTAAACCACATGGCTGTGTATTACTTATAGATTAACAGGAGATTCTTTCCAGTCCACTCCCCAGTGTTGCTGGGGATGTTGAGAAAAAGACACAGTTGTTTTAAACCACGGTGGGAAGCTGCTACATTCAAGCTCCAAAGAACCACTCGGAGATTAAGCGCTGCACAGTCTTATATCTCCTCTCCCCCAATAGAGCACTTCAGAAAAACAGACCTGAGGCCCATATAATGTCCTTTGGACTTGCAGTGGTGGGATTCAAACTTTTTTACTACCAGTTCTGTGGGCATGGCTTGGTGAGCATGGCTTGGTGGGCGTGGCAGGGGAAGAATACTGCAAAATCTCCAATCCCTCCCCACTCCACTAATCTGCTTTCCAGCTCTGTTCTCCTGAGCAGGGCAACCAAAGAAGATCCAGCCGATCGGCTGGGACTCGGGAGGCGGAGAATAGATGGGGGCAGGGGCAGTCAGAGATGTTATTTGCCGGTTCTCCGAACTACTCCAAATTTCTGCTACCAGTCCTCGAGAACTGGTCAGAACCTGCTGAAGACCACCATAGGGACATTTCCCCCCTTCACTAAGCCAGGCGGGGGTGGGGCCACAACCACCTCTGCTTCGGAGGCCATTATATGGAAGGCTAAAAATACAGATTTCTAGATTCCATTGCAGTTGAATTGGTGGCAAATTTTTCATTCTAAAATTATCACAGTCATGGAACTCTTTCTTCAATATTAATATCGTGGAAATGAAACTCACAGCTCCCTCGAATAATAAAATTTGTCTTCCCACTCTAACAATGACAACAAAATATAACCTTCTGAAGTAGCTCTAATTATGAGCTGGCCAGTCTAAAAAAAATCTACATCTGGAACAACTGTTCATATGTACTTTTTATTGGGGATCAATGGGACACAACTGGGATTGTTGACATTTTTCTCACAATTCGCAGCACTTCAATCTTTTGTGGGCTGTAGCACATTGCACGCTGCACCATTTCAGCAAAGAAGTAAATAAGAGTTGCTGGATTGCTACTACCAACCTGTCTCAGTGCCTCTGCTAATTAAAAGTGGGGTACAACTTTGCAGAGATGCTTTGCAGAGAACTCTGAATTATCACTGCAAAGAACCTTTTTCAAAACCCAGAGAACTCTATAATTTATCTACTGAATTAAAAAAACAAACAAACATTGATTTTGTTTTGCAGATTGCCCCAAGGATGTCCAACTTTTTCATTCAAATCATTTGCCTATCAAAGAAGGTGACAAAGTCATTTTGAACTGCTCCGTGGGCAGTAGTTACCCCAGCAACAACAATTACAAAATTTTGGTATCAATTTTTGATGACACATCCAGAAGTCAGGGCTCGACACTGACAGTCGTTGCAATTCCTGAACCAATCACTTCTTACAGATGCGAAGCATGTAATAGTGTTGGCTGCACTTTCTCCCCAACCATCACTTTGGATATCCTTTGTAAGTAAGAATAACTATATGATGAGCTGGAAGCCTTTAAGCAGCTAAATTGTTCCTGGAGAGACCCACAAGAGCAGGGGGGTCAAACTCTATTTCATTGAGGGCCTCATCAGGGTTGTGTTTGACCTTGAGGGTGGGGGCAGAGTGGCCGTGGCTAGCTCAAAGTCACTCATGTTGGGGGCACCTCTGGGGCATGAGCTCTCTACCAGAGAAAATGGGCTCCCGACTTCTGTTTTTGGCTGTGATGGCCTCCTGCAACCCTCTGCCAGCGAAAATGGAGCTCATGGCCCTCTCTGGTCCTTCGCTGCTTCCAGACTGGCTTCGTGGGCCAGATCTGAGCATCCCATGGGCCACATCTGGCCCCTGGGCCTTGAGTTTGACATCCCTGCACAAGAGCATTGCCATTCAAGTCTTGGATATAGCAAGTATAAGAAATTGAACATGGAATAAATTATTTTAGAAACTCAAGTTATACATCTTTCAGGTTAGAGTGAAGGAGCACAATTTTGAGTGAAGGAGCACAAAAAAAGGGTGTGAGTAATAGATTAATGAATCAACTTTTGACGGAATTTAAATTTAAATGTTAAAATGGATTTATTCATATGCTAAAAACTTTTCTCCTTTTCGGTGTGTTAGAATTAGAATTTCAGTTGTAACTTTGGAAGGTGTTCTGATGGAGATATAGCAGAAGATCTTGCTATGGGCACCCTGCCTTTATGTTATTTCTTCATTGTTCTCCTCATCTTTCCTATCTCCTTATCTTCTTATGACGCTAACTTTGTTGTTTGTATCTAATGATTACATTGTTTTGTTTAGTACCCTAGTATGATTTATTGCTTATCTAGTATCCTATGACTATCACTAATTGTTGTATCTTATGATTTATGATGAACGTATTTTTATAATGACCATGACCATGATTTATCACTTATTGCTTGTATGTACATTGAGACTAGGGCTTATGCACTGGAGACAATTTTCTTGGCCAATAAAGAATTCAATTCTGTTCTGTTCTACTCTACTCTACTCTACTCTACTCTTTCTCTATTCTCTATTCTCTATTCTCTTCTCTCTTATCTTCTCTCTTATCTTCTCTTTTCTTCCATTCCATTCCATTCTATTCTCTTCTTCTCTTCTCTTCTCTTCTCTTCTCTTCTCTTCTCTTCTCTTCTCTTCTCTTCTCTTCTCTCTTCTATTCAATTATCTTATTCTATTCTATTCTATTCTATTCTATTCTATTCTATTCTATTCTATTCTATTCTATTCTATTCTATTCTATTCTATTCTATTCTATTCTATTCTTTGATAGAATCATAAACCTGCCTTACTTCAAGGAGCTCCAAGTGCACTCTCACCTTTATTTTTCTCCATAGTAAAAGCCCTGGGAAAATGATTGCCTAAAGTCACTCAATTAGCATCTGTAGCTGAAGATATACTTGAAGCTACATCTCCTAGTCCAAGTTCAATATTTCAACCACAACCTCATATTGACAAAGCTCTGGACATAATCAAATCATTGTGGGGCATTGCTGCCTACGGTTTGTACAAGCAAACAAACTGAGTAAAAAAAAAAATGTTTTAGAGTAGTTTGGGGGTAGGTGAAAAGTTGAGAATGATTTAATTAAAGAATATATAGCTTTGGGTTCAAAAAGGAAAGTGGATGCTATTAGTTGAGTTGTTCAGTGTAGCTAATGTATGCCCACAATGCTGGTCACTCTGGGCAAATGCTGGTCACTCTTGCCATATGTTCAAGAGCAATAGGATATCACTCTCTGTGCTTGCATTTCTCCTTTTGTCCTACAGATGGCCCCAAAGATGTCAAGCTCAATCGAAAACCTTCAGGGTTGGTCCTTGAAGGTAATCCTGTTCACCTGATTTGTAGTGTGAGAGTGGCCAACCCCAAACAACTCAGTTACACCTGGTATAAAAATGGGCAACTTCTGTCACTGAACTCTGCAGAAAATGTTCTATTCATCCAGAATGCCAGTTCAACGGATTCTGGCATCTACCGTTGTGTATCAAAAAACAACATAACAAAGGCAGAGTCTCCAACTATTAAGCTGGAAGTGAATTGTGAGTACAGATTCAGTGTATAGTCATGATATTCTTGCTGTGCTCAATGGGCTTTCTCTTCTAGGTACAATCGTTGTTGACTCAAGCTTGATTCTTGGTTACTGCTTTAGGCATAAAGCCATCTGGGTGACCTTAGGCCAATCCCTATTTCTTAAACTGTGATGATCCGGGAAGCAGCACACACGTAATAAATTCCCAAACGTAAATAAATTACCTTTAATGGCTCCAACTTGGCCTCACTTTTCAATTGTTCACAATTGGAGATTAAACTCTTTCCAAAATAGTCTCCAAAAGAAAGAAATACAGTCCAAACTCAAAGAACAGATAATGGAGAAATAAAAAACCAAAACAAACCGCACTGAAGGAATTTCCATGACAGACCAGGATAATTAATTGCAAACTTCAAGAAGATAGCAAGGCACGGTCCGTTGGAAGAATGCCAACCAAGATAAACCTCAGCCAGAAATAAAACACGCTTTGCTTCTAGCAACGCTGTGTTTTAAACATCCTTCCTTTATACTATTCCCACTAGCTGCAGCCAATGAGGGGGATCATGGCCACTTCTTCTCCGATAAGCCACATTGTTCCCTTCTCCGTTCCTCCCTGCGTGCCCTAGGATGAAGAGTGGATGGGCCTGGGTCTTCCTCTGACTGCCCAGCTGGTATCTGCCCTTTCCCAGCCTCCTCCACAACCTCCAGAGCCACACTTCCACTCCCTGTCAGCTGTTCCTCCTCTCTCTCAGAGTCAATCTCCACCAGGGGCATGACACAGACCTAGGAAAGAGTCAAAGGGAAACTACTTTTGAAATTTTGTTCAGAAAAGTGCAGGAGTCGTCCAGACATCACCATAGTGCCAGTCGTGGGATTCAAATGTTTTTACTACCGGTTCTGTGGGTGTGGCTTGGTGGGCGTGGCAGGGGAAGAATACAGTAAAATCTCCAGTCAGAAGTCATATTTGCCGGTTCTCAAAATTTCTACTACCGGTTCTCCAGAACTGGTCAGAACCTGCTGAATACCACCTCTGCATAGTGCTCATACCATAGTCATCATAGGACTCTTCTTTCTCCTTTGGAAAATGAAATCTGTATTTCACAGAATATGGGGTAGTTTGCCATATTGGGTATGATTTGAGTGGAATCTAGTGGAATTTACTGCTGTCAGATGCGATCTTGACCCCGTAAGTGATTTTAAAAATGGACAAGACATATTCAATGGAGAACTGGAGGATCTATTATGTTTGTTGTCTGATTAGTCCCTTGTCAGTCATTCTAAACAACAGTGAAATGTGATTACTTTCCTCTCTTGCTTCTACGGTCTTCAGATGCTTTTAGGTGATTGCTATGTGACAAAAGATGACGGACTTGACAAAATAATATTTTGCAATCTTTTTTTAAAGAAGTAAATATAACTTTAATGTATAGTCATATAAAAGTACAATATCATCCAACTATCAATACATACGCTGAAATAAATTTCAGATAAGATGTCAGATCCATATTTTATTATTTGATTTAGTTTTAGTCATATTTTTAGGTGACCTGATCTAATTTATAGTTATTTGTGCATCCTGGTCTCTGTATGATCAGAATACACTTCTGAAATTCATATTTACACCAGTGTTTTACTCATTTTTAAGTTTGCTCACAAACATATTCACCATTATGTATCTTTTTGAATATACACTTTAGGGAAACACATTTGCATGCTAAGACTTTTTATTTTATTTACTTCAGGTTTACATTTTTTCCTGTCTCACATTCTGTTAATTTTTAAGTATATGATATTATGGTTGGAAAACTAGTTTAGCTTAGGATTTATGGAAAGTATTTTATTGCATTTGGAATATGTTTTTTTGGATTTTAAAAATCCTTGATATATATTTTTATTGTTTACAACTATAAATACAAAACACAGAGTAGCCATTTTGGCATTACTTTGCCATGCATACCAAAGATGTAGTCAAAACCATTAACATTTATATTATTGGTACAATATTTACATTTTGCTTCCAATCCTCCTTTTACAATCTTGATAACTTTGAGATATATGTCAAAGAATGGTCCCATAAACTTTGGCTCCAGTTTCTCGCTAGGGAGTTTTAGCCTCAGATATTTTGTGGAGAGGTAGGCCTTCTCCCCCAACTGGAATAGTCATTGCAGGGCTCGGTGTTTGTCTGCCTGTTTTTTATAGTTCTGCGTTGCTTTAACTAAGTACTTTTTTAACATTCTCCCAAGTTGCTTTCAACGTTGATATCCAATCGGTCAGGCTGACTGAGGAGGAGGGATCCCTTAGATACTCAGGCATTGGGATGAAGTCCATACCATGAACTACCTTGAAGGGGGTTAATCCTGTGCTACTGTGAACATCATTATTGCACTCAACCTCCATGAAAGGCAGGAGGTCCACCCAATTGGACCGCTGATAATTCACATAGCATCTCATATTGCTCTAACATGGTGTTCAGTCTCTCTGCCCCCCCATTGGTGCTCGGATGAAAGCTGAGCTAAGGCCCTGGGATGACCCAATAGACCATATGAACTCTCTCCAGAACTTAGCCGCTAATATCAATTCCCAGAATTCCACAACCAACATGACTACTGCTAATAATTCAAGAAGTAGAAATATCAGGAAGTTACCAAGATTGAGATATAATGGTTATAGAAGACTATTTCTCCACCTATGTCTCTTGTTGAGTCCTTATAAATTCCTTTGCCTTGTAGCAGATGCGGAGAATCAAATATACAAAAGCTGGATTAAAACGAGTGACTCTTTCTTTTTCTGACAGATGCGCCTCGTAATGTTCATCTAACTCTAGACAAGAAAGATGTGACTGAAGGAATGGATCTCTATATGAGATGTGATAATGATGCTTACCCATCAGTAGCTACTTACAAGTGGTATTGGAAAGGAGAAGAAATCCCTATGGAGAATTCAAAATTCTTAATTCTCAGGAAAATTAAGGTTGAGCATTCAGGAGATTATCTCTGCAGAGCATTCAATACTGTCTCTAATAGGGAATCACAGCTCATCACCATTAGTGTATCCTGTGAGTATTTCCCTTGAAAAATATGGTTACAATTCCTAGATGACCATCCTTGATTAAGAAATTCTGGGCAATGGAAAGACAACTAGTCAAACGGAACGAGGCAATTTCATGTTCTGCAAATATTTTGGAGAGCAGCTCCAAAATATTCGTGTTGGCTTGGAGATTCATGAGGATAGAAATCAGACTGGCTGATCTTAAAGTACAATTTTTTTGGATGAGCAATTCATGACTGAAGAATTATCTATGAAGTTTAGTCTGTTTTCAGAGTGGGATTTGTTATTTTTATACTTGGATTTAGGAGATAAATAGCAATAGCACTTAGACTTATATGCTGCTCTACAGTCCTTTACAGAGTCAGTTTTATTGCCTCCAACAATCTGGGTCCTCATTTTACCAACCTCAGAAAGATGAAAGGCTGAGTCAACCTTGAGCTGGTGAGACTTGAACTACCAAACTGCTGGCAGCCGGCAATCAGCAGAATTAGCCTGGAGTAGTGCATTCTAACCGCTGCGCCACCATGGCTCAAAGCTCAGAAGAAAGTTATAGATTATTCCTTAAAAAACAAAGCAAAAATGAAAACATAAAAACCAAAATTGAATGAAAAACCAGATACCTTGATGCAATTTAATTCATCTATTTTGCAAACTGTATTTCTCTCCTTCACTCTCTCTCTCTCTCTCTCTCTCTCTCTCTCTCTCTCTCTCTTTATACTAACATTCCCTAATATATGGATTTTTAGTAAACCAGCTTCCATAGTATGATCTATTACTAGTATACATTTTTGTACACAACTTCCCCCAATATATCCAACTTTTCCTGTGCAATATATATGTGTCCCAATTATGTGCATTTATTCATGTGTGTTTGAGCATGCACATGAAGGTGTGAATTTTTAAGCCAAGAGGAATTCAGAGAACATTGCACATTAAAACAATTAATTTTATGTCTGGTTGAGTTGAGCAAATAAGATGTAAGCTTAAAGCTTTTCTTTTTAGTATTATCCACACTTAGAATTGAGTCTCTGCAAAGCTATGTCCAGAATAAAAGCAAATAAATGGCAGTAGTTGAATGTCGTTCTATCGTTTACCGCTTGTGGGTACCTCTGAGGATGCCAACTATATCAATAGAAATATGATGGGGGCATTGATTAGCGTAGGTTAGATGATCAAATAAGGTCATGGATTCAATCTGGCAAAAAATCAAATCGACATCCTACTAATCTTTGTCATTTTTCATTTGTACTGTGCAGTCAGCAGAGCTACAGTGATGAAACACATCTTGATTGGCCTGGGTGTGGTTCTTGCCTTTATTATGTTACTGGGGTCGCTGCTTTATGGCTTGAAGAAATGGTAAGTGAGAGTCGATAGCCTGCAGGCAATGATCAACAGTAGACATGATGGTCAATATCCTACTGATAGCGTAGGGTGCCCTGCAGATAAGAAGGATAGTGGGGAAAGTCACTTTTTTGCTCAGTAATTATTTTCAAGATTCTTTGCTCCATAATTGGCTGATGGGGGACACTTCAAAAGAAAGCCACTTGATGAGAAGTGAGGTACCATCAAAATCAAATCAAACCTTTATTGCAGTCTAACTTGGAGGTGACCTAACTCTGTTTCTCCTCTTGCAGGAAGAAAACAATACGTTCGGACATTGACAGTGCACAGAGGCCTGCCAGAGGCTCGTTTTTTGTGAGGAAGGTTAAAAATCACTTTCAATTGTTTTCTATGGTACAGTAGAGGTGGAGAAGGCATTAAGGAGGATTTGTAGGCCTTTTAGCTCACTTCCAGTTCTAATACCCTTAATGTTCCTCCTTCTTTCAAATCCAGGGATTGTGTTATTAGCCTATAATAAAGGTAAAGGTTCCCCTCGCACATAGGTGCTAATCGTTTCCGGCTCTAGGGGGTGGTGCTCATCTCCGTTACAAAGCTGAAGAGCCAGTGCTGTCCGAAGACGTCAAAGTGGTCCCTATTTTTCTACTTGCATTTTTACGTGCTTTTGAACTGCTATGTTGGCAGAAGCTGGGACAAGGAATGGGAGCTCACTCCATTACCGCTAAACTGCTGACCTTACTGATTGACAAGCTCAGTGTCTTAGCCACTGAGCCACCGTGTTCCTTAGCCTATAATACTTCTTCTCTATTTATTGACTGAGAACGAGGTGTAGTGGAAGATGAAATCCTTGTAACCTGCAATACATGGGTAGGAAAGAAACAGGGAGGAAAAAGTGAAGGGAAGGGGAAGGAAGAAGAGGAGAAGGAAGGAGGGAGGGAGGAAGAAAGAGTGCGTAGTGGTTCCTAGCTTGGAGATTGTGGGTGACTCTTTCTCATATCCTTAAATGGATACAATTTGGCCAGCATCCAGATTTTCATTTTCCAACAAGCTGCACTGATCAAATTCTTCCTCTTTAGTGCAGTTATGAAATTGGAGGGGTAGTAGTCTTCCCTGGCTAGAATATTGAGATTTTTTTTTCTTCCCCTTAGGCCAAGCGAGAAGTACCACCTAATAACAACTCCAAACTAAATGAATGTAGAAGAGACTGCCCCCTAGACCACCAGAACGAGGAGCAAGATGGCACCATTTCATATGCAACACTCCAGTTCCCCCACAGTGGGTTACATAACCGTACTATTTATTCCAGGTATGATGATGAAACGATAAAGGATCTAAGAAACCATAAGCTAGCTTCAGCTTGTGGAAGATTCTCGATACATTCTACCCCTTCCATCACTATGCCTACTGCTTCCTCCTCATCCCGGTTCCCACAGTCCCTCTATTCCCACAGTCCATCTATTTGCCATTCCCTTTGGATCGCCGGCATCTTTCGGGAGACAGAGAAGATGGACAAGCTGAGCTTCTGCTTTCTCACTTGGAGAGAGAACGTGAAGAGCAGGAAGGAGAAAAACGAACAGTCACAAGATCAGGAGCTTACATGGATTGACAATGCCCCCGCCCCAACTGATGCCACAGGGCCTGGCCTTGGTGCTAATCCTGGTTCAATGCAGAGGTCAAGATAAAGTCCTTTAGATTAGAGCTCTTCAGATCTTAGAAGGGGCTGTTTGGATTCAGTGAAGGCTGAAGTATAACTTATCTCAGAAGTCCTTTATCAAGTGCCCAATACTTTATTTATTTATTTATTTGTTTGTCAAACATGTACAAGGTAACACGTATAAGTATGAACATAAACATGAACAAAGGGAGTAAATACAGATAAACAGGGACAGTAAGACAGGGACAGTAGGCACGCTGGTGCTCTTAGGCACGCCCTCTTTAAGGACCTCTTAGGAATGCGGTGAGGTTCACAATAGACAGTTTGAGGTTGAAGCTGTGAGGGGTTGAGGCTTTAACAACAGAGTCAGGTAGGGCGTTTAACCAGTGCTCCTTTAACCAGTGGAATTAGTAGTGTGTGTTTCCTTTTACTTAGTGGAAGTACTTCGGAGCATTTGCAGTCCAAAGTGATCAACTGAGGTCACTTTGCAAAGGTAGAGTAATTTACTTCCACAGGATGCTACATTATATCAGTTTGAAGATGGTCAGTTGTGATTCATGAGGCTGACTAGATATACAAAACAGCAAATTATCGTCTCCTTGTCTGCTGAAATTCCATGCAGGAGGTCTATCTTTGAAATCATAGCCATATTTTTTCTGTGTATCTGCTCCAAAGTCAGTTTAGTTCCAGTCTATGAAGAAGGATAGCAAAGTTCCTGTGGATCCTAAGTAAAAAAAAGAAAAAGAAATCTAGGTGATGGTGTACAAAAACATGCAAAGTAGAAGTCAACTAGAGGCACAAATTTGTCTTCTATTACAATATCCTAGGAGCTTTTCTTTTCCATATTTTATTCTAGTATGTGTGTATGTATGTATCAGAGGTGGTATTCAGCATGTTCTGACCAGTTCTGGAGAACCGGTAGTGGAAATTTTGAGAACCGGCAAATACCACCTCTGACTGGCCCCACCCCCATCTATTCTCTGCTCCCGAGTCCCAGCTGATCGGCTAGCTCTCCTTTGTTTGCCCTGCACAGGAGAACAGAGCTGGAAAGCAGGTTAGTGGGATGGGGAGGGAATGGGATTTTGCAGTAACCTTCCCCTGCCATGCCCACCAAGCTACCCCATGCCCACCAAGCCACGCCCACAGAACCAGTAGTAAAATTTTGTGAATCCCATCACTGGTATGTATGTATGTACCCTGTTTCTCCAACAATACGGCCTCCCCCAATAGGAAGTCCCAGCATGTTTTATAGGCATGAAATGAAATTAAGCCCCTCCCCCCAAATTAAGGCCTATATTAAAACATGCGAAATGGGGGGGAATGGTGGGGGGGGCTTGCCGTTAGGAAGTACTTTTGTGGCACACCCGGATATGGTGCTGCCTGCGTTGACCCCGATACGAAGTGCCCCACCAACGCCGAGGTCAACATCCAAGCCGTCGCCACCCACCCGCCCGAAGATGCAAGGGGGTGGGGATTAAGTCACCCCCGAAAAGACGGCCTAGCCATTTTTTCGGGGCTCAAAAAAAAAAAGACCCGGGCTTATTATATGAGAAACACGGTATGTATGTATGTATGTATGTATGTATGTATGTATGTATGTATGTATGTATGTAAAAAGTTATTTTGAAGAGAAGAAACAAATGATAGCAAGGCAACTGATGCAACAGAAAGTCAGGTCATCAAATAATCTCACGCAGTTAATGTCTTTTTGATTACAGTGTCATGCAGCCAAACGTGGGACTAGATTCCTCAGAGAACAGCGTGATCTACAGTATAGTAAAGAAACCTGCATTCCACCCCAAGGTACATGTCCTGTTCGAGCTGGATCCCTCTGAGTTATAAACCAGGGACATTCCTGACCCTGTACCTCAGATATTGCTGGGGTTGCAGATCTCAGAAGGTTCAACCAGAACATCTGGAAGGCATCCATTTGGGGAGGGCAGAAGTTCCGTTTCCTTTCCTGTTTTCATTCCATATCAGAGATAGAAAGTTTGAGTAGATCATAGAGATACTATAAGTCTCCTACAAAGTGATGCCATTCCTTAATGTCATTTTTGGTGATAATACTCAATATTTTTTTCTACTGATTTTCTATTCAAAGACCAAGTATATATATAGGAGCCACTAGATATGACCCTCACCAGATTTTTTTAAAAAATGTATTTGTCAAGCATGCATTTGATAATATATATAAGTATAAACATGATTATTAATACATGAAATAGATACAAATAAAAGGGAACATTAAGACAGGGACAGTAGGCATGTAGGTACGCTTATGCACGCTCCTTGCAGACCTCTTAGGAAAGGGGTGAGGTCAACAGTAGACAGTCTAAGTTTAAAGTTTTTGGGGTTTGGGGAAGAAACCACAGAGTCAGGTAGAGTATTCCAGACATTGACCACTCTGTTGCTGAAGTCGTATTTCCTGCAATCGAGTTTTGTGCAGTTTAATATGAGTTTGTATCTATTGTGTGCTCATGTATTGTTGTGGTTGAAGCTGAAGTAGTCATTGGCAGGTAGGACATTGCAATAGGTAATTTTATGTACTATGCTTAGGTCAGACCGAAGGCGGCGTAGTTCTAAGTTACCTAAGCCTAAAATTTCAAGTCTGGAGGCATAGGGTATTCTGTTGTGAGTAGAGGAGACTCTCTCTTGAAATATTTCTGGACTCTCTTGATTGTATTAATGTCCGATATGCAGTGCGGATTCCTGATAGATAAGCTGTATTTAAGAATTGGTCTACATGTTTGAACTACATGCTTGGACTACAACTTCTATCACCACCAGGCAGCCTGTCAGGAGACGTGCTGGCCTGAGATAATGAAATCTGAAATCCAGTTTATGAGAAAGTCATGGTCTTTTGATTCAGCTTCTTCTTTTAGGATTTTTTGTTGCTGTTGGTACAATTCATGAGAAATGATCATCCTTGAAATAGCAATTTATTTTTCTTTAAAAAGGCAAGCGTGTGCTTCCCTTTTTCTGGGCTGAGTTTCTCTACTATATGATGTGGTCCCAAGGGCTTTTGCTGTTTAGGCGCTTCCCTCTTAGGCTTGCCAGCTTTTATTTTCATAAAGTCCCTGTAGCTTTTTAAAGCAACATGTAAAGCAGAAATTGAATCATGAACAAGGATGGGCAGCTTGGGCTTCTTCTTCAGTCTATTTCTGCATGAACATGTGGATTTATTTGAAAAATGAAAGGTGTGCAAAGATCTTTGTTGGCAATTGGCATGCACATTTTCATATATGTTTTTGTGTCGGCATATGCACTTTTTGCAAGCAATTCTTCCTTTTTAAAAGTGCCATTTTAAAGAGATGACAGAGAGAGGGCTGTTAAATTTTTAAAATCTGTAATCATGAGAGTATGGAATTTTTTTCAGTTTAAGTGTTGCTTTCTTGCAGTTTAGGAAACGTGAACATCTAAATAGGCTTCAGAATAACAAAAAGTTGTTATTAGAAAATAGAAAACAGTAGTGTTGGCAGTGTTCATCCCCTTTTCATCAAGTAAGCTGACAAACACCCCACCACACAAAGAAAAATAAAGAATTGTTCACGAAGAAGAGGGAAAACAGAAAGGGAATTTGAAAAACCACAAAGAAAACTCTGGCACACGTACTTTGACTTCAATTCAGTTTTGATTAGGTGACATTCAAAAGGTGAGTTTCACTTGATCCATTAGGTCAAGTTTAAAAAATGTGATCTACACTGACAGATCATGGCTCTCCAGAATTGCAGAGTGGAGTCATTCTCAGGTCATTTAAAGGTGCTGATGACTGAACTTTGTTCACATTTAAGTACAGGTAGTCCCCAACTTACTCCTTTAGTGACCATTCAAATTTACATTACTGAAAAAAAGTGACCTAGGACTCCTTTTCACAGTTATGGCCTTTGTAGCTTCCCCATGATCATGTCATCGGGATTCTGGAGATAGCCCTAATTAAATCATGAGCCTCAAGCCAAGCTTTAAAAAACTCAAAAGATTTATTAGGAGCAACATGCCGGCATACATAATTCACATTCACCTGTGACCCTGTTTCCCCACTCCCCCCTGGGTGTTTCATAAATCAGATTCTCCAATGAAGCACATTCATGGGGCGGGTGTCATCAATCACATTCTCCAATAAAGGATTTTCGTGGACAGAAGATCCAGTTGCCTAGCTACAATGTTTTTTAAGATAATGGTGGAATGTACTTCTGGTTTTACTGCCATACTGCTCCTTCAGATTCCGCCCCCCTTGTTGATGGCAACTTGAAAACAGGCATAGGAATGTTTTACGAGTTGACACGTGTGATCAAAATTCAGATGCTTGACAACTGGTTCATACTTATGAACACGGCTGTATTTGAAGGTCACATAATCACGTTCTACAACCTTCTGACAAGCGATGTCAAGGGGAAGAACTGCTTCACTTAACAACCGGGTGACTAACTAACCAACTGCAGTGATTCACTTAACAGCTGTGGCAGGGGAGGTTGTAAAATGGGGCACAACTCAGTTAACAAATGTCTCACTTAATGATAGAGATTTTGGGCTCAATTGTGGCTGTAAGTCGAGGACTACCTGTATAACGTTCACCTGAATCTAATATCCTTTACCTAAACAAGTTCCTTCTCCTCCTGTTTTAGAATGACACCAAGGTGGATTATGAGAATGTGGTGAAGAAAGAAGAAGAACTGCACTATTCTTCCTTGGAGAACCTAGCACCACGCTTCCATCCCACCAACGTAGACTTAGAAACAGATTCTGAATCAGAAGACAGCATCCAGTATGCAGCTCTGAAGCACTGATCTACTCAAGCATGCCAAGATCAGGACTCTCCAGCTAGGGAGTAGAAAGGGATTAGAATTGGGTGTGTCTAAAAAGTTTTCTTTTTACAGCCAAGAATAGCAGAGTTCTGCGGGTAGAAGAAGAAAGATAACGTAGGATAAAGGGCTAATAAAGCCAGTATTAATGTTTATATTGTGTGTCCAAGTCAACAACAGAAGCTCTATGGCTGGTATAATGGTCAGCTTTCAACGTAGAAACCTAATTCACTGGTTTACATGACTGCTAAAGCTTGCTCTTCTCTTTCTGATATTCAATCCACTCCTTAGAAACTATTACAGAGAGGCTCAAACGTGTTCTTGTAGGTGCTTTTTTTTTTCAAGAGGCAACTGGACTTTCTTGTTTTTCTTTGAAGACATTTCACTTCTCATCCAAGAAGGTTCTTCAGCTCAAAAAGCACCTTTGGAGCAACTATGACTTGGAGGACTGAGAATCTCCATAGACTTGTTCATATAGTTTGGTTTTTCAATTCCCACAAATAGGACTTTTTCAGGCCAGAGATCTTCTCAACTAGACAATCCAAATTTGCTATCTGTGCCATCAAATAGTCCTGCATTGTATCTTCTGCCATGGTACAGTTACTTCCAGCTTACCGGTTCCAACCATGTAAGGTCTATTACCAATCAGTTCTTCAAAATAAATTAAGCAATAATCCCAGATATACAGTTTTCCTTCTGTGCTTCTCAGAGTAGAGTTAGATAAATTTAGCCAGGTACGTTAAATCCAGCAATCTCAGCTTGATAAGTAGCTGTGGTTTTTTTTTTTTTTGGATGTAAGCTTAATGTTTTGGGCAAACTAAGCCCATTTTGTTAGTGTGTTGTTCAAAAAAAAAAAAAAAAGCTCATAAAATTGGGTATGATTCACTTAAAAACTGCCTTGTCAGCAATAGAACTTCTGGTCCCAATTGGTATTGTAAGTCAAGGACTACCTGTTATCTTTTATGAAGTCATTCCAAAATGTATGATGGCACCAGTGGTGAAATTCAAATTTTCTTACTACCGGTTCTGTGGGCATGGTTTGGTGAACATGGCATGACCTGGCGGGTATAGCATGGCTTGGTGGTTGTGGCAGGAGAAGGATACTGTAAAATCCCCATTCCCTCCCCATTCCTAGGGGAAGGTTATTACAAAGTCCTATTCCCTCCCCAACCCACTAACCTGCTTTCCAGCTCCGTTCTCCTGTGCAAGGCAACAAAGAAACCCAGTCAATCAGCTGGAACTCAGGAGGCAGAGACTAAATGGGGGCGGGGCCAGTCAGAGGGGATATTTGCCGGTTCTCTAAACTACTCAAAATTTCCATTACCGGTTCTCCAGAACTGGTCAGAACCTGCTGAATACCCACCTCTGAGCCAATTTATTAAGTACCAGAGAAAATTATAATTTGAAGAATGAAGGTAGAGTTGGTCCCTGTTTCCTTGTCAAATGCTGGGCATGCAAATGGGATTACTTTGTAAGTAATTCTTATACCTTCTCCCTGGGAAAGCATCCTTCATCAACCCGTTTTAGAGGCACTTAAAGATACCAGCCATCAGCAAATGAACAAACATCACTGGAGGAAGGAGTTGCGGTAAGGAGAGCCACTTAGAGGGAAGGCAAACAACAGCTGTAGATAAAGGAAGTTAAACAGCAATTTGGTCAATATTCTTCTTTCATTGGCTAGATAACTGTCAGAGAAGTCATTATGGGCCCCATTTCCCCTCTAACCAATCCCTGACCTTTGGGACACTTCATCAGATAACATCACCCTGTTTGCTTTTGTGCCACGCAAGGTTGATCTGTGGTGGAAGTCTGGCTGATTGACGAGGCTGTTTTTGCTGACAGAATAGAGTCTACACAGTTAAATGTAGTGTAGCAAAATGCTCAGCTGTCTGGGGAAGACACACCTAAGGGCTGGATGCTTCCAGAAGATGCTGACTCCGATGCCTTCATAAAGTCCAGAGCTTCATGTACTCTACCCAGAGAAAGAACTTTCCCAGAACCCACCTCCCCAAAAACAACAGTTTCTTGCATTGAGATGGAAATCAATAGATAGTATTAGTGACTCTTTGGTATAATAAATAGAGGGTTGAGTTTTGGACACAGTCAGTGGTGGGATTCAATTTTTTTTACTACGGGTTCTGTGGGCGTGGCTTCATGGGCGTGACAGGGGAAGGATACAGTCAGAGGTGGGATTGGCTGGTTCTCCAAACTACTCAAAAGTTCCGCTACAGGTTCTCCAGAACCAGTCAGAACCTACTGAATGCCACCTCTGGTCCAGTGGTGGGATTCAAATATTTTTGCTACCGGCTCAGTGGGCGCGCTTTGCGCGCATGCGCACATTTTGCATGCACTCATGTGCAAAATGCACACTTTGTGCAGGTGCAGAGGCGTTCAAACTCACCTCCTGCAAGCCTGCACGATCCCGATTGTTTCAGCAGCTGCCGCACAGCACTTTTCTGTGCCACACAAAGCAGCTGCGCGTCAAATTCAGCAGATAAAAGTGAGCATGGGAGCCCAGGTGGGTGGGTGGGCCCAACAGCAAAGCGGCAGAGAGAACTGGTTCGATCTCCGCTGCTCATTGCTGCTACCGGTTCTCTAGAACAGTGATCCCCAACCTTTTTTCTGCCGCGGCCCAGTACCGGCATCAGCTGGGCGCCGCGGCCCGGTACCGGCATCAGCTGGGCGCCGCCATCTTTTTTTGATGAAAACATGCTTCCGGTGAGCTTTCTACCCGGAAAAGCTCACCGGAAGCACTTTTTCATCAAAAAAAAGATGGCGGCGCCCAGCAAGCCAGCGGCCCGGTAGGACTTGTTCCGCAGACCGGACCGGTGGTTGGGGACCCCTGCTCTAGAACCAGGCCGAACCAGTCGAATACCACCACTGCTCTGGGCCCAGTGCATGGATCATACATGTAATCAAAATGGCTGCTTCTCCAAGAGTGAATGAAGCTGGTGATGGGTTTGGAAGGCTTCTTTCTTGACTTATTGCTTTGTTATACAGACCTATAACTCAAGGAAATGGCAGGGGCCCTTGGACACTGTTTCCCAGTCTTCTGAGTGTATACAGAAGACACTTCTGCTGGAATAGTTGGCAAAGCCTGAATTTACAGCCACCATTGCTGCCTGCAAATCTTAAATGACGATTCTCCAAATCTATTTTGCTTTTCTTTCTTTCTTTCTTTTTGCTGAAGAAGCCAATAACATAAACAGGTTGTCCTCAACTTGTTCATTTAGTGACCATTCAAACTTACAACAGCACTGAAAAAGGGACTTATGGCCATTTTTCACAGTTATGACCTTTGCAGCACCCCCAAGGTCATGTGATCAAAATTCAGATGCTTGGTCGCTGGTTCATATTTATGACCATTGTTGTGTCCCAATGTCATATGATGACCTCTTCTGACCTTCCCCGCAATTACAGGTAGTCCTCGACTTGCAACAGTTCATTTAGTGACAATTCAAAGTTACAGCGGCACTGGAAAAAAGTGGCCATTTCTCACACTTACAAGCATTGCAGCCGCCCCATAACCATGTGATTTACATTTGGATGCTTGACAACTAACTCACATTTATGACCGTTGCTGTGTCCCAGGGTCATGTGATCCCCTTTTGCGACCTTCTGACAAGCAAAGTCAATGGGGAAGCCAGATTCACTTAACAACCGGGTTACTAACTTATCAACTTAAGACCTGAGGCAAGCAAGAAAGATGGTAAAATGGGGCAAAACTCACTTAAAAAACATTGCAGAAACAAAACAGAAATTTGGGCTCAATTGTGGTCATAAGTCAAGGACTATCTGCTTCTATCTGGCTCACCATCTTCTCAATTAAGAAATAAATCTTTGAGATAAATACTATCCCCCCTCAAGAAAGCTCCCCAGATCATTTCACTTTTCACTTTTGAAAAGAACAGTTTCTCTTTGATAGTGCTTACTTGCCAACTAATTGATGTGACTATCATCAATCAGCCAATTACAATTATGGACTCAAGGGTGCGTTACATTAAAGAGACAATTTTGTCCTTCCTGATTGACTCACTTTAGAGAATAAACTTTCCACCAGTCACTGGAGCATGTTTCCTTCCTGAAGAACTCAAATCTATTTTCATGCTCAGGCAGAAGTAATATAGTATGACATATTACTTAAAGTATGTGTGTGTATGTGTGTGCATATGTATATATATATATATGTGTGTGTATGTGTACATGTACATGTGCCTGCGTGTAATAGTTAAAAAAGGCATTGGTCAGTATCTGATAGTAATTTACAGAGGTTGAATATGTAATTAAGATATACACATACATACAGAGGGTGAATATATCTGAATCTATCATATATCATCAATATCTACCCTGTTTCCCCGAAAATATGACCCACCATGAGGGTAAGCCCTAGCTTGATTTTTACACATGCACCCAATATAAGTCCTACCCCAAAAATAAGCCCTATTAAGATCCCGCCCACTCCAGAGTGGACGGGTAAAAATTAAGCTAGTGTGGGGATGGAGCTGCCCTACTACTTACCTTTGGACAGTTGTAGCCAGGCCTCACACACCCCAACACCTGCCTTGCCAGCCCATTTCTTCTGCAGCTGGCAAGGCCTTTCCTGAAGGCCTTTGTAGCTGATAACAAAGCTCTGGTTCGATCCTGAAGGCCTCTGACAGCGAAAAGGAGGCTGGCGGCAACATGCACAAGTGAGGTTAGTCAGTGCATGACATCCCCCGAAAATAAGACCTGGTGCCTTTTTTGGTGGGGAAAAAATTTAAGACAGGGTCTTATTTCCGGGAAAATGTGGTATATCTAATATCAGTATATGTTTTTGTTTTTGCCTCTCTCAAAGATTCCAGGCCACACAGAAACAGGTTATACTTTTTCTACTTGGCTGATTGATGTCCTGCTTTAATTCAACATTAAAAATATTGTTAATGCAATGTGCTGATAAGAAAATAACATAAAACCAACAGGAATTGTTTACAGTATAAGCTTTACCCACAGGGTGTTGGTGGTTAAACACAAAGTACAAATATTGGCCACAATGATGTGTGATGGTTTGTTCCTTTTTTTACACTTGGCACAATGTACATAAAAAAGTGTGCGATTTGGATTTCATAATTATGGTTGCCATTATTGCCTTTTTTCTTTACCCTCTCCTTTTCGACACCCCCAATTGTTCAGGACCCATTTAAAAGGAAGAATTAGTTCTTGGGTAACGATTGTAATGGAATCGTTGTAAGCCATCACAGTCATAAAATAGGTTGGTCCCACGATGGACCCAATTTTACAACTTTTTTATAGCATTCAGTAAGTGAACACCGTGGTTGTAAGGGCGAACACTATGGCCATCAAGCAAACCAATCCTTCACTCTGGCACAGATGCAAATTTTTTTA